TCCGCGCGGATAAAATAATAATAAAATAATAGCAAAATAATAATAATAATTTAATTTTTTTTCTTAAATAATAGGCAGAATTATTATTTTTCGTTATTCTCGCGAGTCCAAAACCGCCGGGAGAAGGGGGAGGACACCGGAATAACCGCGATAACGATAAAAACCCGATAAAATATCGATAAAAAATCGATTAAAAAAATGATAAAAAAAATATAAATAACGATAAAATCACGATAAAATCACCATAAAATCCCATAAAATATCGATAAAATAACGACGAAACCCGATAAATAACGATAAAATATCGATCAAAATCGATAAAATAACGATAAAAAAATGATAAAACCGCGATAAAAACCGATAAAATATCAATAAAATAACGATAGGCCGACAATAAACCGGCAATAAACCCGCAATAAACCGCGAAAAAAAATTAATAAGGCGACAATAAAAAATAACAACCACTTCCAAGAGAATGATTTTCATCGTCCCGCGGCCCGGAAATGAGGCGAAAATAGAGATTTATATATTAATTTCTATAAATAACCCACAGTCACTGCCGGGGCGCTTTGGGGTGGTTTGGGGCGGTTTGGGGTGGTTTTGGGGTGGTTTTGGGGTGGTTTTGGGGTGGTTTTGGGGTGGTTTTGGGGCGGTTTTGGGGTTGATTTTGAGGTTATTTTGGGGTTGGTTTGAGGTTGGTTTTGAGGATGATTTGCCGTGGTTTTGGGGTTGGTTTTTGGGGTGGTTTCGGGGTTGTTTTTTGAGCTTGTTTTGGGATTGTTTGGGGGTTGATTTGAGGATGGTTTTGTGTGGTTTTGGGGGTTTTTTTGGGGTGATTTCGGGGCTGGTTTTGGGATGATTTCGGGCTTATTTTTGGGCTTCTTTCGGGATTATTTCGAGGTTATTCCCGAGCTTGTTTCGGGTTTATTTTGGGCTGATTTGGGGCTTGTTTCGGGGTTATTTTTGAGCTTGTTTTGGGATTGTTTGGGGGTTGATTTGGGGTTGGTTTGAGGTTGGTTTTGAGGATGGTTTTCCGTGGTTTGGGGGTTATTTTTGGGCTTGTTTCAGGGTTATTTTTGGGCTTGTTTCGGGGTTATTTTTGGGCTTGTTTTGAGCTTGTTTCGGGGTTATTTTTGGGCTGGTTTCGGGGTTATTCCCGAGCTTGTTTCGGGTTTATTTTGGGCTGATTTCGGGCTTGTTTCGGGCTTATTTTTGGGCTGTTTCGAAGCGATTTCACCCCAATTCGGTGCGGGTTTTTTTTGGGTTCATAACCTGGTGATGTCCTCGGGCGCGGGGGGCGGGGGCGGCTCTTCGGGAGCGGTCCCGGTGTTGTTCCCGGTGTTGTTCCCGGTATTCCCGGTGTTCCCGGTGTTCCCGGGAGCCGCGCGGCTTTTGGTGTTGGGCAGCCGATGATCTTTTTTCCACTTCATTCGGCGGTTTTGGAACCAGATTTTGATCTGGCGCTCCGAGAGGCAGAGCGAGTGCGCGATCTCGATCCTGCGGCGCCGGGTCAGGTAGCGGTTGTAGTGAAATTCCTTCTCCAATTCCAGAACTTGCTGCCGCGTGTAGGCGGTGCGGGAGCGCTTGGGT